TGTCACGTGGCTTAGGGAGAGGAGGCTTTACTTTCACTGGCCTTATCTGGAACTTGCGGTCTCTGAGCATCTGCTGCCTGTGAAACGGACCTCATTCAGCAAGGCGGCCTCCCGGCTCCTTTCATTCCGGCCCAAGGGGGCTGCGGGGGAGGCGCCACCCAGGAGCGTATCTCTGGCTGGGCTTCACGCCTGAGGGAGACCTCCAGCTGGGTCGGTTCCACTCAGGTTGCGCCATCTAGTTCACAAGGCTGAGTTCCCTCTGGAAAGAAAACTCTCACGCATTCAAATGGGATCTGAGTTCTGAGTGACTATAAATTGGAAACAGGGATGTTGTTGTGTCTGGTCACCCCTGTGCCACACCTGTATGGCTTCTGGCAGCTTCCAAGGTTCAACCAGCTTGCGCCGCGCTTGACTCGACCCCAGCGCCGTCCTGCTAACGGCCACAGGGTTCTGCCATCTGACCAAGGAACACGTGCCCTGGGCCACGGCAGCCGGGACAACGGCCGTCTCGAGTCTGCTTCCGGGTGAAACCGGGAGTTGAGCTGCGACTTGGCTGTGTTCCATCCATTTGATAAGCACGCCTTATTCTCTGCTCATTTCCTAGGGTTGCTGTAATAATGTAATGCCAGCTGGGTGGCTTAAAAGAATAAAATATTATTCTCTTGCTCTTCTGAAAGCTCAAAGGCGATCCCTGCCTCCACCACCACCTGGCACGCTTGCGCGTCACCCACCGTGTTGGGACCAGGGCCCGTTCTAACTCCGGTAGGACCTCATCTTTACCAGTTACACCTGCAAAGACTCTATTTCCAAATAACATCACACCCTCGGGGGTTAGTATTTCTACATATTTTTTCCGGGGGACACAATTGGACCCGTAACAAATGCACGCTGTGTGCCCCGTACCATCCGGAGTGCTGGCTATGAGTCTTTAAAGGGCTTGCCAGTCCCTGCTTTGGACTTGCAAATGCAATACGGAACTCGGTAAATATTTGTGAAGGGAATTAGTACAATTAATTGTTGGCGGCTGGTCATGTCTGCTTTTGTCCTTATAAATTAAAAGCTGTGAACTTCCTCTTTGGAGCAAAGCAGCTCAAACACAGAGATGGAGCTGGATCCCCTTAGTGTTTAAATTAAACAGAACCAAATGTGACATATCATGCCAACAGGGTCCAGGAGCTGGCCGGTGACCGTTCTGGCCACCAGCAGGGCACCTCCGGGGCGGAGACCTCAGGAGAGAGGCAACAAGGAGGCTGGCCCTGAGGACAGGTCTCCTGGACCTTCCCCCAGCACCTCCACCCCCAACCAGGATGCAGGAGAAAAGACGCGGAAGAAACGAGCTCCCGGCTCTGCAGCCCCGGGCGCTGGTGCTGTGGTAGCTCAATGTTTCCCCTTGGTCCCCCAGGTCTACGAGAACCATCACCCCTCTCGGTTCTTTACTATGAACCAACTTGACTTTGAGAGCAAGTTCTTGTTCCACTCAGCGGGCAAGAAATCCCGCGAGTGAACTCTGTTAGAGCAACGTGCCAATGTGGGAATTTCTTTCGTAGCATACCCCAGTCCTGACGGCCTCGCTCGGGGTCCTGGCAGGAGATGGGACACTCCCGGGTGGCAGCGCGAGAGGAGCCCGGTGGGATGACTTACAAAGCCGTGGGCAGACGGTAGGGAAACCGAGAGAAGAGGGAGGCGCTGCTACCCCTCCAAGGCCACAAGGACGGCTCTGCTAGAATAAATATCCCGGCTTCACTCTCCTTCCCCCTCTGATTTCCGGACTGTGACCCCACCGGCTCCAGCCAACAGGAAGCCCAAGGGTGGGGGAGCCCACGGATACAGTCTGCGCGGGAGTTACTATAACAAAAATACCGCAGGCTGGGAGGCTTCAACAACAGATATGTATTCCTCCCCCTTCCGAAGGCTGAGAAGTCCAAGGTCGGGTCCAGGTGAGAGCCCGCTTCCTTGTTGGTAGACTGACAGCAGAGAGAGAAATCATCTCCCCTGTCTCTTCCTTGTAAGGACGCTAATCCCGTTCATGAGGGGCCCCACCCTGATGACCTAATCACCTCCCAAAGGCCCCACCTCCAAACCCCAGCACATTGGGGTTTGGGGCTTCAACCCATGAATGTTGCGGGGGGGGGGGGTGAGGCAAACATTTGGTCCACGGCAGATGGTCATCAGACAGCCTGCCAGGGCACAGAGCGGGACAGAGAAAGTTGGCGACGCGATTAGGAGGGGTCACAGCAAGGGATGAAGCATGTAAATGTTTTATTGAAATGTGAGATACAGTTGCCATGCACTTCCATACGCTGATGTTGTTGCATTTGAACTTGACGGAGGGCCAGCGTCAGGACTGAGGTTCCTCTATCCTTCTGGCTTGAGTGGCTTCAGTCTCTCTCCAAAAGGGGTGATTCGTGGAAAATCCTGGCTAAGGTCAGTTCTCCTGAGGAGGAGGGGCTGGGGCTGGAGCTGGGGGGATGGAGAGAAGAGGGAAGGGGAGCAAAGCCACCAGGCTCTTCTGGGAGGGCAGGGGAGGGAGGCCAGGAGCCTGTGGGAGCAGCTGTGTGGGCTGTGTCCTACCCCCCAGTCCCTCAGAATGTGACTGCATTTGGGGACAGGGTTTTTATAGGTGTAATTAAATTAAAATGAGGTCCTTAGGTGGACCCTGATCCATCATGACTGGTGTTCTTACAAGGAGAGGAAGTCAGGACAGAGACATGTATTCGGGAAAGACGTAAAGACAGGGACAATCTGGCCATCTCTGAACCACGGAGACGGGCCTCCCTCAGAGCCTCAGAAGGAACCCGCCCGCCCGCACCGTGATCTCGAACTTCCAGCCTCCAGAGCTACAAGGAAATGAATGTCGTGGTGTAAGTCTCCCGTCTGCGGCGCTTTGTTAGGGCGGCCCTAGCAAACGACTCACCAGCCTCCAAGAGGGCCCTCGGCGAGCCTTGCCTGGCACTCCTGCCCTCGTGTAGTTGCTCCCGCACAGCGTCAGGGCCGCTCTGTGCGACCGGCAGCACATGACAGAGGTAGCCGTGCGTGATGACCAGGTGAGGCTCGCTTGTAAAAGGCAGCGCGGTTTCTGCCTTGGTCTCTCGGGTTTCTCTCCCTGGGGGAGCCCAGCCGCCATGCTGTGAGGGTGCCCAAGCAGCCCCGCAGGGGCCCGCATGAAGGGCAGGGGACCGAGAGCCAGGGGCCAGCACCGGCGGGCCAGCCGTGGAAACGGACCCCCAGCCCCAGTCCGGCCTTCACATGGCCGCAGCCCTGGCTGGCGGGCTCCTCGCTGGACACTCCAGACAGAGTCGCCCATCTAAGCCGCCCCAAACTCCTGGCCCACAGAAATGTGTGTAAGGTTGGGGTATTTTACGTAAGATTTTATTTATTTATTTATTTATTTATTTATTGAGAGAGAGAGAGAGAGAGAGGAAGAGAGGGAGAGAAACATTGATGTGGTTGCATCCCCAACTAGGGACCTGGCCGGCCCACAACCCAGGCACGTGCCCTGACTAGAGATCGAACTGGCAGCCTTTTGGCTCACAGGCTGGTGCTCAGTCCACTGAGCCACACCAGCCAGGGCTAGTTTGGGGTTATCTGTTACGCAGTTATCAGTAACTAATACAGGACCTTCCTCCCCAGTGCTCCTTTCCTTCCTCCACAACCCTTCTGCTTTCTTTTATTTAAAAAAAAATTTTTTTTTAAGATTGTATTTATTTTTAGAGAGAGGGGAAGGGAGGGAGGAGAGGGAGAGAAACATTGATGCACAAGAGAAACATCGATCAATTGCCTCCTGCATACCCCTAACTGGGAACCTGGCCTGTAAACCAGGCATGTGCCTGACCAGGAATTGAACTGGCGACCTTTCGGTTTGCAGGAGATGCCCAACCCACCGAGCCACACTGGCCAGGGCTCTCCTGCTTTCTTTAACATCGGCCCCGCACCACGATGACTCCATCAAAGACTCAAGGAAGTTGGCTGAGGCCCAAAATGGCTCCAAGGAGACACAATAATGTTAATACACAAAAGAAAATGTGCTTGTCCTCAGAAACACCGACAAAATGGGGATTCAAAAAAAATAAGACCCCTGGAAAGCATTTAACACAGGAAAGAGATGTGACCTGACCTCAGTGCTTTCTAAACCAGCGTGCCCATGTTCGGCAGGAATTTTAAATGATTACAATTGTATGTTAAGAGTTTTTTTAATATCCAAAAAGAAGCATTGCACCAATAAGAATGCTGGTAGCTCCACACTTTAAAGCACACTCAACACCAGAAAACCAGTAATCACTTAATTCAACTTCTGTTCACACTGGGGTTTCTTAGAGTGGCACTGAGGCCCGGGGCGCAGGCAGCCAACGCGGGAACTCACCTGGGCACACAGGTGACTGCGGACGTGGCCGCGGTCTCCGTGGCCCCCTGGGGCCGGGCTGCTGCTTCCCTGTCCCGCGGGCATCTTCGCTGTGGCAGGCCGAGGCCTGCGGTTGAGTTAGCCTGGGCGCTGCCGTCACTGTGAGGCCCTCCCACCCCATATTCTCTCACATTCTCTCAGGATAAGGCCCCATTAAACCCAAAGCCTGAATTCTTAGCTGCCCAAAACACCCACTGCCATTTGGCTGAGGGCAGGAGTGGCCTCATCGCCAACCTTCCCAGGAGGCAAGGGCAAAACAGTTGGTCAGAGCGGCAAGGGAGGGAGTCAAATCCGATTCCATCTGCACACCGGTCAAGGGGTCAGGGCTGGCCCCCCAGGTACGTGGCAGCGGCCAGCCCTCGCCGGGTTTCTGAGGCTCTGAATGACCTCGCTGCGTTCTCGCGAGAGGCTGCCTGGGCAGGTTCTGCAGCAGGTTTGTTTTTGGGGTGGCACTCTAAGGCACAGAGAGGTTAAGTCGCTTGCTCAAGCTCACCCGGCTGAGAAGCAAAGCAGCCTGGATTCGAAGTTGGCTGTCCAGTCCTGAGGCCCTGGGCCGCACCCCATGCACCGCCTGTCCCCCGAGGGAGGGACACGTGCAGGGCTAGGGGCTGCTCTTTCTGGTCTGCCCAAGGTCGGCAGCGATGCCCACCCACTCGGGCAGGAAAGCCGCCTGTGGCTTGAAGATCATGCGGAAGTGGGAATCGGGCAGGGTGAAGTTGGCCAGGTAGACGGTGTCCCCTCCAGCAAGGTAGGCAGCCCAGACCCCGAAGGTGCCCACGGTCATGACGGTGTGGTTACACTGTGTGAGCAGCGCGAAGTCCTTGGCAGGGGAGCCCTGTAAACCGTTGCCTGCAAACACCACGTCCCTGAGGGAGCTGTTGATGTTCTGCCGGCACCAGGTCATGTCGTCGCTGGTGACCACGAAGATCGGGGAGCGGTGGCGGGCCCGGAACCAGGCCAGGGCCTGTTGCAGGTAGCCCCGGTCGGCCACCACGCCCTTCCACACCCGCGGCATGACGTGGACGTAGTCCCCCCGGCGCACGTGGACGCCCACGAAGGTGCTCGGCGGGGCCCCGTTCACCTGCAGACCCCGCAGGAACCTCTGCGCCTCCTCGCGCACGTGGTCGTGCAGGGTGAACTCCCGGAGGATCTCGGGGCGCAGGTGGTGGTAGAAGGTCCAGGAGCAGGGGTAGCCGGTGAGGCGCACGTACTCCCCGGGGATGTGGCCGTACTGCTCCTCCATCCAGTCGTTCAGGGGGTAGTTCCGCCAGGGGATCCTCCTGGCCGTGGTGTCGTGCAGGACCGGGAGGGTGATTCTGAAGATGGGGGCGAGCGCGCTGTGCATCTGCGCCGGGATGAAGGCCGGCCGGCCGTTCATCTTGGCCAGGGCGTAGAGGGTGGCGTACTCGCCCATCTGGTTCCCCAGGCGGCCTTTGGAGTTGATGGTGAACATGCCCCCCTGGGGTAGGTGCCTGGGGAGCAGAACCACGCGGCCCGGGGAGGCCCAGGGAGCGGGCACCAGAGCCAGGCGCTGGTAGCAGTGGAAGATGGCGGACGCCACAAGGATGACAAGGAGGAAGGAGATGGCGAAGAAGGAAGGACCGGTGGCGCAGAATCCCATGACGGCTGCAGAGAGGAGAGAGGACCTGCGTCAGAAGAGACGGCTCGACGTCCCTCTGATGTCTCATTCACACCTGCCCCCGCCCAAGTCACGCATTCGTTCACTCGCTCAGCCCATTCAGGCACGTCCAGCGGCCCCCGCGGCGCAGCATCAGGCCTGGGTCTGCGTCCAGCTCTACCCCTCACTAGCGCTGTGTCGCTTTAGTCAAGTGACGTCACTCTCCGAATTCCAGTTTCCTTACCCGTTAAACAAGGATGGTTAGGTCAAATCATTTGAGGGTGTCCGTATCTGACCTTGCACCATTGCACGTGGTCCGACCTAACAGACCTACCTCCTAGACTTGCACGAGGATGGCACTTGTCATTTTTAGGACAGTGCCTGGCACCTGGGCAGTGCCCTCTGAGAGCTGTGAAACAAGGGCTCCCAGACTCGTTACTGATGGGTTTTTGTTTCCGGGGAGCTCACAGGCCAGGAAGGTGGTGCCGTGTGATGGTCAAGAGCACAGATTCTGACGCCAGGCAGCCCAGGGCCACGTCCTGCTGGCGGGGCAACCCCGAGCACGTTCTTAAGCTCTCTGGGCCTCAGTCTCCTCCTCAGGGAAATGGGGTTACCCACAGCACCTCCACGAACTGTGCTTCAAAGAGCCCCTGCGGCGGAAGTGCTTCCGGTTACCGCTAGCGGGTGGTGGATTCTAACCAGTCAGATTCTCTACTTCCTTCCCTTGGAGCTGGGCGGGACTGTGACTGCCTTGGCCAATCAAACGTGGCAGAAGGGACATTGTAATGGTTCTGGACCAGGACCTAAGGGACTGGCAGTTCCCACTTTCTGCTTCTGTGACATTGTGCACATCAAGCTGTGTAGTTTTAGCTTTTACATTACGGTCTGTGACAAACACTTCTTTAGTGTTTAATTTTTAGGTAATCACTTTATTGAGATACCCTGTAATAGTCAAATGCCATGCAATCTGCTCATTAAAAGTGTACATTTTAATGGCTCTTTAGTACATTCACTGAGTTGTGCATGCATTACAATTTTTAGACTTTTATCCCCCCAGACAGAAACCTTGCACTCCTTAGCCGTCCCCTTCAACCTTCCCGCCCTCCCTGCCTCCTCCTCTTCCCATCTCCATGGTTTGCCTGCTTTGTGCATTTCGTATAAATGGAGTCATACAGTATGTGGTTCTTTGTGCCTGGCTTCCTCCACGTAGTATCCTATTCCCAAGGCTCACCCACGCTGGAGCATGAGTCAGTGCTTCGCTGACTTCTTTTTATAGCCAACTAATAGTCTGTTGCATGGATATACCTCATTTTACCAGTTCATCAGTCGATAAGGCACTTGGGCCGTGTCCAGTTGTTGGTTATTATGAACACAGTTACCATGAATACGCATGTGCAAATCTCTGCGTGGACCTACGTTTTCATTTCCCTTGAGTATTCACCGAGGAGTGGAATTGCTGGGTCAGAGGAGAACTGCGCTTAATAGTTTCCACAGCAGCTGCCATTCCATTCCCACCAGCAGCATGTGAGGGCTCCGATTTCACCGCATCCTCGCCAACACGCGCCGCTGTCCGTCTCTTTGATCACAGGGGTGCGCGCTCTTGCGCTGTGCAGCCTGCGCTTCGGAACCACCCTCAGTTCACCTCCAGCTCCCGCCCTGACTCCTCTGGGCTCTCACAGGATCCTCGGCTTCCCTCCCTTGTAACAGGACAAATTATCCCTTTGTCAGCAGCTGCTTCTTTTTGAGTCAGTCTCTCCGGCTCTCGCAGGGACTCCCAGAAACGGTCCTTTCACTCCAGGTCCCCAGTGCGTCCTGACCCACTTCCTCGTCCCCGTCCTCTGTGGCCTTTCCAGTGGCTACAGCTCAAATGCCCCCCCCCCAACTGCCTGCAGGTGCCCTTGATTGTGCGGATTGTGTGGCCTTCACTCTTTGTCTCGTGGCTCCCATCTCACCCCGGCCGGCTCGCTCTCTCTCCTTCCACCGGCTCCCTTCAATGTCGGGGCTCCGTGGGCCTTGCCTCAGTTCCCCTCCTATATTCCAGGGCTCCTCACTGTATCACTCTGACCCCTTAGGGAGATCTGGACACCCTAGGGCTCCCCTTGAATAGACCATGTTTGACATGGGTCCCCAGCAAGCTCAGCTGGCTCCTACCCCATGAGGACTAAGTATGACACCTCCCTCCTGCCACTGAGGCGTGCAGATGGTCCTCAACTCATCTTTACAATGGTGCAAAGGCAACATGCATTCAGTAGGGACCACGCTTCCAATTTTGAATTTTCACCTTTCCCCTGGCTGGTGCTATGTGGCACGTTGCTCTCTCAGCGTGCTGGGCAGCAGCAGCGAGATGATGTCGCCCAAGCGTGGGCTACTGTCAGTGTCCGGGCACGTTTAAGGGCACCTAGGCCAAGCCACGATGTTTGGGAAGTTAGGTGTATTCGATGCACTACCGACTCAGCGACGTTTCAGAGTTTATCCGACCCAGCCCCACTGTGAGTCGAGGAGCACCCGAAGAAGACCTGTCGTGCTTGCTGCTTTGGTTTCCAAAAAGCGAATGAAATCTGCCCCGGACCCCTCTTCTCCCTGGGCTGGTGACTGACAATCCTGTCCCAATGCTTGTCACACCGCCGGCCCGCTGTGAGTCCTGCCTGGGTCCTGCACGGAGGAGGACTCCGGCTTCAGCCTCTGGCCGCTCACTGGCCCAGTCAGAGCCAACGGGGGACTGAAGCCCAGGCTCCTGGGGAGGGGGACCCCGCTGGGACAAAGGCACCACCCAGGGCCACCTCCATGGGGTGCGACCTGTGCAGTCTCACAAGGCCCTGCACGCAAAGGGCCCTACGTTTGCTTCAATGTTTGCTCTGTGTCTAAAAATTCTCAACAGATTTGAACAAGGCACCCCATGTTTTCATTTTGCACGGGACTCTGCAAATCAGGGAGCCAGGTCTGTTGCCACCCTGTCCCTGGGTCTCAAGGGCTCCCTCTGCTGGCTTCTCATCGGCCTGAAAAGCTGCGGAAAGGAATGAACCCAGGCTGAGGTTCGCGTGGGTCCTGTCACGTGCCAGCGACCGGTCTCAGCGCTTAGTACCCTGCGCTACAACTCCTTCTCAGCCACTGTCCCCAAACTGGGGGCAAAGTTCAACCTGAACTGAACTCATCTGGGCACAAAATCAGGCCCGAGCCAACACTCAGCTCTTTAGACATTTTAGTGTGAACGCCACGTGTTCTGCTGCAGAAACAACGTTTGACTGTGGGACACTGTCCAGCCCCCGCCGGTGGAGCTACATGATGTGCTGTCTGTACGCCCCACGGTGCTGTCACAGCACAGGTCCTGAGGTGTCTAGTCCAGAGTTTCAGGCAAGAGACTGTAGGCCTGTCTTCACGCATTTAGTCCTTATGATCGCCCATGAGGAAGACACATTTTTACGCCCATTTAGCAGATGAGGAAACTAAGGCACAGAGAGGTTAAGAAACTTGCTTTAAGTCACACAGCTGGGAAAGAGGTGGAGGCTGGATCTGAACCCAGGCCACTGTGCTTTAGAAACCTGTGCTCTCAATTACTGTCCCGGATTTTTCAAGTATGTCCCAAGGGCGAATACACTCTCCTTTGGGTCACAGGTAGGGTGTGACCTGCCCTGCCTCGTGGGGCCTCTGTTATTTCTGGGTCAGGTCCCTTCCTGCCGAGCCCACCTCAGAATTGTGCTCTGGGAGGTCCTCTCTCCATTCTGGGGTGCTGTGAGGGTGAAGGGGCCCAATACTTGAGGAAACCCCCCACCCAAAGTCTCCTTTCCAACTCGGGGGCGGGGTGGGGGGGATCAGTCTCCTTCCCCTCCAGCTGCTTCCGCCCTTCCCTCCTCCCTGGGCACCTGCGCGGGCGCCGACTGCCTCAGGCAGCTCCAGTTTTCCATCACAAAAGGGAGCGATGGCTCCCCTGCAGGTAGCACTGGCTTAAGAACCCTCCAGTCCCTGGGCAGGGAGGAAAAGAAAGTGAGACCTACCCCTTCCCCTGAATTTTCTCTGGCGGCAAACCCGGCCTTTGCACCGCCGTTCCTTCTGCCTGGGTCGCACCTGGCCATGCCCGCGAGGCCTGCCCTCGCTTCCCTCAGGCCACGACCCAAATGTCCCCTCCGAACCCCCGCCCTCCCGACCCACTTCCCTACTTGCTTCTGCTCTGAAGCACTTCTCCCCTTCCCTGGAACTGCCCGGTACTTTTCTGTAGCGACCTCTCCTGGTTCTAGCGAGCCGACAAAGGCGGGGTCCGGCACGTGTAGCGTGCGCTCCGCAGGGTCTGGCACACAGGGAGGACCTTGAACAGGTGAGTGTAAAAACACTGCCCCTTGTTCCCCTGCCACTCACTTTGCCCGCCCTCGGTCCGATGTGCGCCCTCTGATTTGGGGGCGTCTCTGCCCCTATCCCTGTCTCTTGCAGCTGACTCCTCCTTAAGCTTCATTTCAAATCCAATGTCCCTGTCCTGGCTCCTGCCTGGGCTGGCCCCTCCTCTGTGGCGCAGGAGGGCTGCGCGAGACCAGAAGCTCGGATGGCCTTGCGGCGCCCTCCCGTTCCCGGAGCGGGCTTGGGACTGCGGGTCCCCAATGCCTGCCTGCGTCGGGCGCACGCTGTGCCACAGTCAATGCCAAAGGCTCTCGAGGCCGCAGCGGCAAATATCTGTGCCTCATCCTCCCGAGGCCTTTGCTTTTCTCAGCGGGAAGCGATAGGAAACGTCATTGTTCTAGTCAAAGCCATTCAGTACATAATAGAGTTGACAGCAACCTTTGCACGGGAACCTCATTACTGGAGCACTGAGGCTCGCAGGAAGCTACCTGCCGTGGGGGAGGCTGCCTTTGGGCTTGGACCCCTCAGGGTCCTGTTCTGGCCGCTAGAACCACTGGGGCCCGGGGCAGTCGCATCTCGCCCCACCCCCGCCAGCCCCACCCTCTTAGAAAGCAGCTCCAGTCTTCAGGTTTCCCAAGGGCTGGCCTGAGCCTTCCAAGAGCATCCATTTTTAGGGTTTGAAAGCGGCTGACCTT